TTTTAAAATAAACTACAAAAATTAATATAAGGTGCAAATTAAAATATAGCAGTATCTGCAACTGTATTTGATAATGTTTTGAACTTTTAAAATATGTCATGGTAAAAACAGAAGCTGCTCTTCATATTAGTGACAAACTTTGGTGTTTTTTTTTTTTTTGATGAGTTACTTTCATTTTTGCCTTTTACTTTTCATTTAAAATAAGTTTCCATTCTCAGCAGGTTTCTAAGGTTCTTCTTCTACGTATTAAAAATGTTGTTAAATAACTGAGTGGCGCACTACCGCTACTAGTGGTGAGAAAGTGTATTGCACCTTATTCAAAATCAACGCGGTCCCGCGGCCCTCTGCTGCCCAAAGTTAAAAACTGTTGTTCTTTTGAGGCCCTCAAGGTGACGGCCGCGGCCCACAGGTTAAGAATCTCTGCTTTAGGAAACATATCAAACTGAAGGCCTGCGGGCCAAATGTGGCCCTCTRCAGCATTTTATGTGGCCTGCAAGAGCTTCAAATACTTTGTAAACACAACATAAACAGGAAACAGGGCATGGAGGATAAAGCTCACRCTGGGTGAAAAATGTAAACATGAGAAAAAAGTGACATGTTTGGGTTGTRAGTTAAATCCAAGGTGGAGCTTTGATGTTGTTTTAACATTAAACACAAAAACTTTTTTTTTTCACTAAGGGAAATTTAATGTTTCTGGACTCCTAAATTGTTGTTTTTTTCTGCAGAGACAAGACTTAAGCAACAATAAACTCTTGTTTAAAAGAGTTCTTTTAAGACCACTGTGATCCACTTTGATCTTGGTTGCATCTGAACTAGCCGTTAGCTCGTCAATTGGGTTTTAAAATTTTTTTTGTCCAAATTGAGGTGATTAAAAATAGATCTACGACAGGTAAGATATYCTTTATTCATAAGCGTTCCACAGAACCCTACTTCAAAATATTAGTTTCTTACATTTTTTTATGATTCTGTTTTATTTCACATCCTTTATTAAATTGTCTCTTTGTCTCTTTTCAGTTAGGGATGTGGATCTGGACTCCCAACTGTCCCGCCTGTGGAAGAAAAAACACCAGGTTACATTTTTTAACTATCTCCTCTTTCTCTTTCTTTTCTCTTTTATTGGGTTTTCTTTCTTTCAGCTCAAATCACTGCCTGAGCTTATAAATTTATTTTATTTTATTTTATTTTATTTTATTTTATTTTATTTTATTGCGTGGTAGGACACAGACAAACTGTCAGCGTTCACAACTCATGAGAACAAAGTCACAAAAGAAGAATCAATAATCTGTGAGGGGAGAGAGGGGCTTTTATCTGAGAGTGAGGGGTTTGAAACCCAGAAAACCTCAAGGAATGAAGGTCAAACCTTTCAAAATAAGAGACGTTTTGGTGTAACGTCTGTGTGGTGTCTGTTCCTGGCCTGGGCTCTGTGTCTGCTGACCTCTCTGCTGTGTTTGGTGCTCTCTGCTACACTGGGAAGCAGGTATTTTCTAGATTTATTTATTTATAATGAAATTTGAGTGTATACATCATATTTTAAGCTGTTTTTTTTAATATTTTGCATCAGATTCAGCAACAATCAGGTTCTTCTTTGGATCCAGTCCCTCTTCGTCTCTCTAATCTCCTGCATCTTCTTCATCCAGCCAGCTTTGGTAATAAAGAGCGGTTTGACAAAACAGAAGCTGCTAATCTTTGTTGTCATCATCTTATTGCTTTTCTTTTCCAGATCTTTGCAGCGGCAGTAGTCGTCTCGGTKTGGTGCAAGAAAACGCCGTTCTCTCCTTCTTCCATAAAGGTGGAAACTTTAAACTGGTGGAGCTCCCTCCATCAGCCCGAGGAGCGGGTCAGAGCGCCTGGTTTCCCTGAACAAAGAAGTTCACGCTTCGTGAAGGTGATGATGAGATTCTGCTCGGGTCAGAGCRAGTTTCCACCTAAAAGTCACTGGTTTTCTGATTCTCAGTTGCTCGGAGCTCGTCAAAGAGCTCGACACCTCCGGCTGGTGCAGCCGCCGCCTCCGGCAGAGCTGAGGAGATCTCGTTTAAAGAGAAGAAGAGAGGCTCTCATCTATAAAACGCTGAGGTTTGTCTGTGTGGTTGTGTTAAATATGCACGTTTGCATCAGAAACGAACGTTTTCTTCTCGTCTTGCAGAGATTTGTCTTTCTGCGCTGCCATGCTGCTCCTGATGTCGTGCGTCACTTACTACAGTTCGTTTAAAGACGATTATCAGCTCAACAGAGCCGTCAGAAGACGCTTTATAGGGTAACACCTGCTTTTCTTTTCACTCAACATCACCCGCACAAACAGGAAATATGTATTTTGCTGTCTTCCACCAGGAGGCATGGATTTACAGCCATAAAAACACAGGAGGACTGGTGGAAGTGGACACAAACAACTCTGCTGGACCTACTGGAGCAGATTAAATCAGACAAAACTGAAGTAAGAAAGGTAGTTTCAGCCTTTTTTTTAAAGACATTTGTCTTCACTCGTTTAATGTCATTAATCAAATACCATTTTTCATTCAGTGAAATTGAGTTTATTCATGATATAATATGTGTTGCTCAGACGTTGCATGTTGGGATCGGAGATGTTGTGATACAAAAAACAGAGCGACGCTGCCCAGATCAGAACCAAGTAAGTAGAATTATATTTCATAGAAAGCTGTGTTTTAAAGCGTGCAGGTTATCCTCAGTGGCTAAAGAGGAAATAACTGAATTTTAGAGACAGTCTTACACCTTACAGCAGGGCTATTCAAATAAATTTCTCTGGGGGCCACAGTTAATTTAGACCAACAGCTCAGGGGCYGAACATCTAGTCATTATGTAAATAAACCAAGTATTACAAAGATTTGTTACCTTTGAAATAGTTTATTTTGCTGCATTTATTCATGGATATAACAAACAGAATCCTTTGTAATAAAAGTAGTGATAATAAAACAACATCAAAAACAAATATAACACATTCTGCCGCATTTTTAACACAAATATTATTTTGACATCTCTGACTTGCCAAATTTTAAATCAATTTTRTTTTCACTTTCWTAGTTGTATCTTCAACACTTGTAGTTTTAACTGTCTTGGATGTTCATAGAAATGTTTTTTTTTTTTACCAGTTTTTAGCCAAGATTCCGACGTTTCTGTAGATGTCTTGGCTTCAGTTTTTTTTGTGTCTTACTAAAATAACTTACAGTAATTAAAGTAGAAAATCAGGGGTTTGGGTTTGAGAGATGAATGAACAAATTGGTGGGCCGATCTTTGGTCACTCGTGGGCCGGATGTGGCCCGCGGGCTGCCAGTTGAATACCTCTGCCTTATACTCTGATTGCTTTCATTTATTTTAAACCAGTGGTTCCCAACTTTAGGGTCGGGAYGCACAGTGGGGTCCTGAAAATATTTTTATGATAATTAATTACACAAAAAAATGACAACTAAGAACACTTTTTTCCTTTGTTTTTGCAAAATAATAAGATTAGTGTACTTAAAATGGACAAAAATAGTGTAATAAATAATTTTACTATGCTCTTTTTTTATTTGATGTGAAAACAATGTTTATCAACCAATAAAAGATGGGGGCTCAGGTCTCTGCTGCTGGTATTTTGTGGGTCAAAAGCTGAAAAGTTTGGCAACAGCTGCTTTAAACTGTGAGAGAATCAAMAAGTCTCTGCTTAATATGTGCCTCGCTCCAGTGGTGTAAGAATAATTGATTATATTTACAGTTTACCAGCGCTGACGTATGGACCTGCCCCCCGGGGGTGTGACGGGGTTTTGATGATATTTATGGGCTCAGGTGTTCAGGACCACTTTGTTTTAGACTCTGAAGCACAGACAGGTTTCTGATGAAGTCTTTAGATTTGAAAATAAACATCCAACTGAGAATTTAATCAGGTTTCTGGATATTATTCGGGCATCCTATTTGAACATTTTCTTACAGAGCTTTTATCTTTTGGTTGACTTTTTTTTTTACACGAAAGATCTTGGCTGACAGGATGTTCTCACGCTGCACCGAACTAAACTTTGACACTTTTATAATCTCAGTGTTCCCATTTCCAAGGTCCCCTCGCTGAGACACTTCTGGACGTCTGATCGCTCCAGCTGCCGCTCAGAGAAAGTCGTTACAGTCGTTTTAGGCCACGAGAAGTGAGATAAATACAGAAATGATTAAAAAGTTTCTTATTTTTATTCTGTAAGTCGCTGTTGAGGCTCAGTTTCCCCTCCCGCAGGTCCGACGCTGAGACAGAACTGAACCTCCTGCGGTCCAGCGGCTGGGTGGACAGGTGGACGGTGGCCCTGAAGGTCCAGCTCACCTTGTACAGTCCTGCACCAAACCTGTTCACCAGCGTGACCCTGCTCACCGAGCGGAGCTCCAGCGGGGGGCTGCGGTCCTCTGCCAAGGTTCAGTCAGTCCGGGTGGATCCCACCCCCTTTGCAGGAGGCCATGTTGTGATGGTCTGCCAGGTGGGGGCTTCATCTGATTTGAAACTAGTCTCAACTTTTAGGACAACTCTTAACTTTTTTTTTTCCTCTTTCACACCAGCTGCTCTTCCTCCTCTTATCTCTTCTACGACTCTGTGGCCAAGTGTCCACTGCAGCCCAGCAAGGCCTGATGGGAGACTGGAGGACACCCTCCACCTGTCTGGACGTGAGTTTCTATCCTCACTCACCCTAAAAAAAAAGCTTCATCCAGTTTAAGATGAACACACGTACACACTTGGACTCACGCCAACACAAATAAGTTCACAGCGGCCTCGTGGAAAAGGTTGAACCGACCTGTCAGTGTTAAACTAACAGACTTATCTTCAGCGGAGCAGTCTCATTTATTCACCGTGTTCCTSTTTTCACAGGTCGGCCTGCTGACGGCGACCCTCCTCTATCACGTCTGTTGCGTTTACCGCTCTGTGGCGATGGCGGAGGCCGTGAATTTCCTGCAGGARCACGACAATAAAAGACATGTTGACGTTAGCGACCTGTGCACCTGGGAACAAGTGAGACAAAGACAGATGTGACGGCAGTAAAACACAGAAATATGATCTCTAACGCAAAGTTTAGATGTGACTTTATTAACCTGTTAAGGTTTAACTGCAGCTTTGTGTCTCGTTGAACCAGCAGGAGCGTCTGATACTTTACAGCAGAATAACAGTGAAGTTGGGCTGTCTGCCTGAACTGTTACTATAAACGCAGCTTCCTGTCATTTGAATTAGTTAAATATGACTAAAGTTTTCTAGGTTTAAAGTTAGAGGTAAAAACACCAAAAAAAATTCACTTCTCTGTGTTTGGGCTGTGAAGGCTACGGTACGGTACGGAGCCCACAAAGGGACATGGAGGATACTTTTTTTTTTTTTGCATTCCCCCGCAATAGTATTGTGTTACCTCACAATACTTTTAGCGTTCYCTCGCAAAAGTCATTCATCACTGTGGTGCCTGCCGATTTATTAGCAAACTCACATGTTCACCATTAGCGAGTTAGYCWACTACTTTAATTCAGCTTCAGAATKAATATATCACACAGCCACTCATAGAAATRTGTAGCCTAATATGAAGATATTTYAATTCAATGCAGCCACGCAATATTAATGTCAATGTACCGAACTTGTGGCRACACATCCTTTTTCAGTAACTGGTTATTTCAAAATAAAAGTCTGATTTCATTCAATTCATACAAAACATGTATTGTTTTGTGTTTGTATGGACACACAAAACAATATTTCAAGGTAACGCAAAGATATTACGAGGTAACGCAAAAGTATTGCAAGGTAACGCAAAGGTATTGCGAGGTAACACAAAAGTATTGCGAGATAACGCAAAGGTATTGCGAGGTAACGCAAAAGTATTGGGAGGTAACACAAAGGTATTACGAGGAAATGCAAAAGTATTGCAATGTAACGCAAAGGTATTGCGAGGTAACACAAAAGTATTGGGAGGTAACGCAAAGCTATTTTGAGGTAACCTAAAAGTATTGTGAGGTAACACAAAGGTATTGTGAGGTAACACAAAGGTATTGCGAGGTAACGCAAAAGTATTGCAAGGTAACACAAAGGTATTGTGAGGTAACGCAAAAGTATTGCGAGGTAACGCAAAGGTATTGTGAGGTAACGCAAAAGTATTGCGAGATAACCCAAAGGTATTGCAAGGTAACGCAAAAGTATTGCGAGGTAACCCAAAAGTATTGCAAGGTAATGCAAAAGTATTGCGAGGTAACCCAAAAGTATTGCGAGGTAACCCAAAAGTATTGCAAGGTAATGCAAAAGTATTGCGAGGTAACCCAAAAGTATTGCAAGGTAACCCAAAAGTATTGCAAGGTAACGCAAAGATATTGCAAGGTAACGCAAAGCTATTGCAAGGTAACCCAAAAGTATTGCAAGGTAACGCAAAAGTATTGCAAGGTAACGTAAAGCTATTGCAAGGTAACGTAAAGCTATTGCAAGGTAACGCAAAGCTATTGCGAGGTAACGCAAAGCTATCGCGAGGTAACGCAAAGCTATTGCAAGGTAATGCAAAGCTATTGCAAGGTAATGCAAAGCTATTGCAAGGTAACCCAAAAGTATCGAGAGGTAACACAAAGCTATTGCGAGGTATCGCAAAAGTATTGCAAGATAACGCAAAGCTATTGTGAGGTAACACAAAGGTATTGCGAGGTAACGTAAACATTTTGTGAAGTAACGCAAGAGTATTGTGTGGGAACGCAAAAAAAAAATCCCTCCATGTCCCCTCGCGTGCTCCATCGGTCCATGAGGAATTATTTTATAATAATGTGGGGAAAAGAGGCTTGCCTCCAATAAAAGTCTAATTCTCCTTGATAAATTTTAAAAATATCATAATTTAATTACAGACAAACTGGTCTCTGTCTTTTATCCAATTTTACTCCTTTCACCCCCCCCAAAAAAATGAGAATAATTTTAAAAAGTGCATATTTATGTAAAAGAAACAACAATTTGTGAAACATTTTTATTTTAGCTGACAATATTTGGTAGCTTTTTACAAACTTTAATTATTAGAAAAGAAGTTAAAACGTCYCCCTGAAGATTTCAGACCCCTGGTTTTAGGGGTTTTGTTTTTGTTTTCAGTTTTGTGTTTTGTCTCTACAGTGTGTTCGTTCTCTGCACGGCGTCCTCCTCTTCCTCCTCGTGATGAAGACTGTGACTGTTCTCGGAGTGAACAGGACTTTCAGTTTCTCTGCTGCAGTCTTCGCTCGCTCACTCCGCAGCCTATTCTGCCCTCCGGTAAACAGTAACTAAACTGCAGGGATGGTTTGTGCRTTAATGGGTCGTTTCTCTCAAAGCTTCTGATTTTTTATTAAAATATCTCAGATATCTCACTATGAGAAACAAAATGCACCAATAAAGCTTGCGAAAATCTCCTCTCTCTTCTGTTAGAGCTCAGGTCTGGCCCTCCTGGTGGTCTCGTCCTGTTTGGCGAATCTGCTGTGCGTACAAAGCTCCGGGGTCTTCAGCTCCCTTCGGTCTCTGCTCTGTAACTACCGGGGTCTCCGAGCCACTAGGGGTCCATCAGGGCCGGATTTCTCTCCTAGCGAGCTACTTCTTCTCTCAGCCTCTGTGTTGTGGACAGCAGTGGTATAAAAGCCTTCTGTTTTCGACAAACCATGTTTCTGGATAGAAAGAAAACAAAACAATAACATTTTATTTGAGCCTGAACAGTTCTGTGTTTTCCTTCCAGGTGATTGGGGTCATATCCTCGTCGGTCAGAGCTGCCAGAAAGCCTCGGAGCAGAAAGAAAGTCCTCRCCACAGCAGAAATGTTTTCCTACTTCAAAAAGAAGGTGTCTGAGTTGATCGGASGGCAGAGACAAACGGGGACGCACCGACACGAGGAAGACAGGGTGTGGCAGCCATCTTGGAAAACCTAAAAGTCTTTTTATCAGACAAAAATTTTTTTTAAAATTTGTTTTAAGTAAATAATCTTTGGAAATTTGGATAGTTTCCTTACTTCAATCTTTAATCTTACCTAGTGCAGTTCTTATTCCACTGGGTGAATATTTTTCACTTAATTTAATGAATTTGAGATGATTAAGTGAAAAAATCAGCCAATGGAATGAGAACAATTGCACTTGGTCTTGAAATAAGGAAAATTTCCAGAGTAACAAGGCTAAAAAAATCTTACATTCTGCTCATATTATACTCAAAACAAGATAAAAAAAACTTTTTTTTATTTAGATATAAGATAAAAATACTTGGTCGGATAGATATTAATATGAGAGTTTTGTTAAAACCTCTCCAGTGGATTGTGAAACATTTTACTAACAGACAAACACTTATAGGCAATCTGCAGCAGTTGTTTCATCTTTTGACCCACAAAGTAACAAGCAGAGGGTAAATATTACCAGATTAAGCACAAATTTGTACTATWATGAGCATAATGGTGATACAAGCAGCTCTGCTTTTATAATAATTCATGGTGATTATTTATTTTTTGTACCAATTTTGCTGAAAAAATGCTGTTGCAGACACGACACAACATTATTTATAAAGTTTAAAAATTTATAATGTGAACTGAGCCGAAAATGTTGAGTCAAATAAGTTTCACTTGAGGAGGTCATCTTCGTCCAACAAGTCTTCAAAACTCACCAGGAACACGATCAGTTCCTTACAGCAGGGAAATGAGCTGAGGCTCAGCGTACGCTCTGATCTGAACTGGTTCTTTAAGCTTTTTGCATAAAACAAACAAGATTCCTGAATTTGCCTGTTTGAGATCGGAGCTCTGAAGGTTTTATTCAGTCTTGAAATACGTAATAAATAAATAAGAAGACGTCAAAACGCTCAATGATTGCAGTGATATTTTCACATGTGAAAACAGTTTTATGGTTTCAGATTCATGGTTGATTTATTCCTTTTGTGCTTCTCAGACGTTTTTGCTTGAAGAGCTGGAGATCTCCGTAGATGAACTGTTGTTCAGACTCGGTGCCCTTTCCAACTTAACCAACCTCTCTCTGCCTCCCGAAACCCCCGACGGCAGAAACGAGGACCGTCCCTTCAGGTAGCAAAGTCGGACTCACGTCAAACCCACATTACTCCAAAGCAGACATGTTGGTGCTAATAAATGTGACTTCATTGTCCTTATAGGCCCCAYGCTGAACAAGACATCCAGAAAGCCCTGGACCGAAGAAGAAAAACCAGAAATTATCATCCAGACATTTCTGAGGAACCTAGAGATGAATCAAGGAATAAAAACTGCTTGCGTTGTACCAAGTCAACGTCCATCAAAGAGATTTTGGCAGAAGATGTTTTAGACACTAAATGCAGCTGTTCATTTAGTAAAACTCATTGTGAGGTTGTGGTGGAGGTTCTGGTTCATAAGGAGCAAGGAACAGAAGAGTCAGATGTGCTCATTTAGGATTCTTATGCGTTATCATGGTTTGAAAAATATTTTAAACAAAAGAATGTTTTTGAAAGTGTGCGTTTTAGGATTTTTTTTAGGAATATTTGTTTAGTAGAGATTTATAAAGTATTATAGAACTGAGAGCTCAGATAATTGATGAATGACAATATCTTAGCTGCAGTTTTGGACATGTTTACAGTGTTCCACTGTGAATAAATTATCAACTTATGACATTTGCAATTCATTGCATTGTGTTTTTTATTTTAAAGTAATAAAACCGCAAGTCTAGACAAATCTGAAATTAATGGTAAGTCAGATATTCACAATGTTTATGCTAGATGACCAATAATAAATGCAAATAATTTAATTTGTCTTAGGAAGAATTAAGTTTGAAATATTTAATAATGTTGGTTGTGCAAAGAAACTGAATTAAACACTTGTAAAAATCTCATATTCACTGAGATAAAGTCCAAGTGAAGATGACAAAACCAACACAGAGAATCAGCCAATCACAACCCTCGACGTTTCACTCCAGGAATTGAGTGGCGACTCCTGATTGGACGGTGACTGGCAACGACAGCCAATCAAAACGTGGCAAGTCAGACAAGTTCCAGACGGAGGAGGGGCAGGTTCGTGCTTTGCGAAGTTTGTATGAAACCAAGCGGAAGGTTTGCACAGTAAAAACACGTCAGTATTTGATCCGGACAGCGGGTCTGCGGCACAGACAGCCTCTTTGATGACATTCATCAGTGTTATTAATATTACCTCGGTCAGTTAAAGCGCTCGCTCCGGAGCTGCACGTCGTTCGCGCGGGGACACAATGAAGAAGGTTGCTTTGTTGCTAATTGTGCTGCTAGGCGTTGCACATTTCGCGACTGTCGGCAGATGTGAAGACGGTGAGTTGAGGACTCTAAGGAGCCTTGTGTTTACTTTTTTCCACCTCGAATTGTTTGAGTGTGGTAAATAGTGCATCCGGTGCGTGTTTCCTGTAAGCTACTGTCGTTTTAAACGCGCTAGCTTAAGTTGCTGCGAGTTAATTAGCCTGCTAACTAAACTAGCACTGTGTTAGCAGGACGGCTCGCGCTCAGAAAGTAATAACTGGAGTTATGCTCACCTCAAATATGTGACTTTTATGCTGTGTGCAAAACTGACTATTGTGCTGCGTGTCATGTTTTTTTTTATCTTATTGCATTTTAAGTTTGAATGTTTTAATTGAGCCATGTTTTATTTAATTAAGATGAAACAGAAGACAAAGAGAAGACTGCAGAAGAGGATAGTGATGAGGAGGAGGAGGAGGAGGATGACACAGAGGTGAAAGAGGAGAACGGGGTTCTTGTTCTCACCGACAGCAACTTTTACTCCTTCACAGAGGGAAAAGACACAGTTCTGCTCGAGTTCTATGCACCATGGTACGGGGGTCTTAAAATTAAAYGTCAGAAATGTTGACATGAAGATTTACACCAAGCTAACCTCCACGCTCAGCCAAACGTTTTGATGAATTCGTATCGTTTGCTTTYACTCAGGTGTGGTCACTGCAAGCAGTTCGCCCCAGAGTACGAGAAGATCGCTCAGACTCTGAAGGAGAACGACCCGCCCATACCTGTGGCCAAAGTGGACGCCACTGTGGCCAGCTCGGTGGCGAGCAGGTTTGACGTGTCTGGATATCCCACCATTAAGATCCTGAAAAATGGCGAGCCGGTGGACTACGATGGAGAAAGAACAGAGAAGGGTAGGTAGTTTCGTTGACTGGTTTTTACAGCCGTTTATAAAAATCTTAAGTGCTCATGTTTTGGATGCCTGTTTGTTCCAGCCATYGTGGAGCGGGTGAAGGAGGTGTCTCAACCGGACTGGAAGCCCCCTCCTGAGGCGACGCTTGTTCTGACCAAGGACAACTTTGATGAGACCGTTAATGATGCTGAGATCATCCTGGTGGAGTTCTACGCTCCATGGTGAGTCTGCTGTTAAGAGGAGATTGGATGACTATTAAAATAAAAACCAAAATTTTAATTTTTTTCCCTATAAAACCCACCTGCAGGTGCGGACACTGCAAGCGTCTGGCTCCGGAGTACGAGAAGGCTGCAAAAGAGCTGAGCCAGCGCTCTCCTCCCATTCCTTTGGCCAAGGTTGACGCCACAGTTGAAGGGGACATCGCCTCCCGCTTTGGGGTCACTGGCTATCCCACCCTGAAGATCTTCAGAAAGGGCAAGGTGTTCGAGTACAACGGACCCAGGGAGAAGTACGGTAGGTAGACCGCTCGCAGCAATCAAAGTGTTTTTAATTGTTAAAGTTGTCGTCTCAATGATGTCATCTTGTTGTGCACCTGTTTTCACATGCAAATGTTTGAAGCTCTGACAAGTAAACAAGATTTGTTTCTAGTAAAATAGCWGTTGCATTGGTCAGAGGTTCTCAAACTGGAGTCCCAGGACCCTTAAGGGGTCTGCGAGCTGTAACTTGGGGGTCCTCAAATTACATTACGTTGTGTGTGTGTGTGTGTAACAATGTACAAGTATAACTAACAAACAAACAAACAAAAATATTCCCGTGATATTTAGGGGTTAAAATGGCTGCAAATTATTTTTAAATCAGCATGAGGTTTATGAGGGCGTCTCTAGACCCAAAACATTTGAGAAGCCCTGACATAAATAATTATTTTTWTCATAAAATATTGGCTAACAGTCTGTATGCAAGGTCTTTGCAGTTTGCAGTGGCTCTYAATTTATAGAATCACAAACTTGTTCTGCAGACTCACTCGTCTCGTCGCCCCCAATTATTGTCAGACAAGTTTTCTCAGTGGTTCTCAGACTTTTAACCAATTAACCCAGAAAATAAAAATAATTTTAAAAAAAACCTGTGACCATTGATAAATTTGGTTTAAGCACATAAACCCCTCTAACTGTAATTTTATTATTTATTT